GCCCACGCGTGATAACATACTTTAAAATCGATCATAAGATCTAAGCTAAATAGATTACACTAGTAAAACACCGAGACCTTTTATGGGTTAGAGTGAATAGAATCACTATCCTTAACCTCTATAACAGGCTAGAGGTTAAGAGCACACTTCCGGCGATATGAACGCCTTCCACACCTCCTGGCAGGCAGACCGACCAGCCTCGCAAGATGGCTGTTAAGGCGGTTTGAGATGCTCAGGCGAACCGTTTGCACTATTAGAAGCCTTGTGTCAAAGCCTGCCACATGCCATATACACCGCCAACTGGCCACAGAGCAGTGAGAGAGCGCCTCGCATGTTGCGTTAGCGCAGTTGCGTCTGAGCATCGATAGTTCATTTGCCAAAATTCGTCGTCAAAGTGGTAGCTTGGTAACTCTCTCAGAGACGCGTTTGGAGGATTATGTTTCAGCGCAACCGTCAACTGACGCCTGTGTAGGGGTGAGCCGTGACATGCACACTGGTTCGAAATAGCCTTTGAAATTTACTTCTCTATTCTTTTTCTTTGCTGCTCCGTATCCAAACAAAAAGTCATTCTAAGATGGGGCTTGTCTTGGCTTCGTGAGAGCCATCCTTCATGGGAAAACGCTCAAGCATACCAAAAAGCCTCCTTGCCCAGCGCTCGACACCCATCTCCTGCACCTGCCGAGACAGCGCCTCATGGCTCATCGTTTTCTCCTCCTCCGTTACCGTCAGCGCCATGTAAATCTCGTGCGCCACCGCGGACACGTCCCAAGGATTAATCACGACCGCGTTGCTCAGTGCCCCCGCGGTGCCGCTAAACTCGGAGAGAATGAGCGTGCCACGGCGGTCGCGCTGGCAGATGCTGTACTCGAGCGCTGTCGTACTAATACCTTCACGGACGCTCGTGATGAGCGCCACGTCGCTCTGCCGCAGCAGCGCAAAGTACGCGTCCTGCTGCGGCGGCAGCGGCGAGAGCTGCACGGGCGTATGCCTCAGCGAGCCATAGCGCGAGTTGATGGTCGCGACGAGGAGATTGACGCGCGACGCAAACTCGGCCTCCTCGGTGCCGCCGGCCTCGAGCATGGCAGGGCTTGTGAGCTGCAAGAGAACGGCCTTTTCTTGCCACTCGGGATGGTCGTGCA